CTCTGTCTCTCTCTTTTTCTCTGTCTTTCTCTCTCTGTGGTTCAGGCTTAAATAGCTAAGCGAGAACGTCCCTTGATGTCACGTTTCTGTTGATGTCTATCACGTACATAGGCCTGTGTATAGATACAAAAGCACACGTATACACATTGTATGGATACTGCGTGAGCATTCGGTACGAGGACTTGCTTGGAGAGGGTTTTTCGGCTGAGCTAAGTGGACAACACCAAGACACGCTCGCCCTGACGCTGCTTTCTCGAGTGCTGCATCTTTTGTCACTCTGCTCCTCCCCCGTCCTACCCCCTCCCCCCGCTCCTCCCTTCCGGCACACCCCCTCCCAATCGCCTTTGCAGGTGCGGCTGTGATGACCTTGGCGGTGGTTGGCGTCGTGGCCAAGGCATGGTTCCACAGGGAGTAGGGAAGCTATGACGTACGGTGGTTGTCTACATGTCGAGCCGAACATCCTCGGTATCCGCCTGAACGCGTGGGCTCAATGTCACGGGCAGGGTGCAGGAACCAGGGTCGTGGGCCACGGGGAAGCGAGCTCCAAGATTTCGGAAGGGCTCTGCGGGCTCGGGGGCTGCGAGATTTTCGGGGATTGGGTGAGACTTAGAAGCCGCATCGAAGATGCCCCGCTCACATGTTGGAGAACTTCGGACCCTTCTGGTTCCGACAAACTTTGATCGCAACTCTTCAATCCCAGTGACCTACTAGCAGCCGAAAAACACGGTGGTCAACATCATAATAGTATACTTCTTCTAATGTTATTACCTTATCAAGACATCGAAGAACATGCTGGCTTCGGTCCATGCATAGCGCAGCTGCGTTTGCCTGACGGAGATCAGACCATGAACCGCCTGACACTCCAAAGCCTTGCATGAGTTCCTACAGACTCCACATATATAAGGCATCCTGCAAGGACAGGGGCACCCCTACAGGCACCCCCCCGCCCAAATTCTCGGCCTCAGAGGAGGTAGTCTACACCCTGGTCCGCTGTAAGCACTGCGACCAGACTTAAAAAGCTGAAGCGATGCCGAGGAGTTCGAGTGCATGTGATAGTAGTTCTTGGTGTACTGAACATCCTTGTGAGTATGCTTGCCAAATTACTGACGCTTAATGCTTTACTTTCGTCATCTGCTTGTCTGTTTGCTTTGACGACGAGGACGATAATTAAGCATTGCTTCCTGCGAGGCCTCCGGCTCCTCACTCTCGAAGTCTAAGACACTGGATCAGATCGAGAACTGGGAGGAGCTGCCAGGAATGGACCAGGCCGGTGGTTTTTTCGAGGTCCAGGTTTAGACGGCCGGTTCTTGCGGCTTGGGCTAGAGGCGATTTGGGCCCAAAGTTGATTTATAAGAGGTTCGGGGCTTGTGCTTCGGAGCACCAAACTCTTCAAGCCGAACGCTCAGTAGGTCGTCAGTCCCAATGACCTTCTGCTCATTGATTCTGATACAACTCGATTCCTTGACTTCTTATCCTTATCGCCGTTCATCGTATGACTGTACTTCGCATCATAGTTGTCACTGATTTGTATGGTGTTCAGCTCTGATAGACCTGCAGCCCCGCTCTAGACAGAGAGACGCAACCGCAAACTTCAAGGCACAAAGAACTCTGTCTCGTGGGTCCTTAGCACAATTACTTCAACAAGCAACAACAGCATCAGCAGCGTCTAGCCAGGTCATCCACAAGGCCCAGGCCCTGAAGATGGACAAGCCCTTGCGCAACCTGCAAGACCTGTGACCCGGCTCAGCGTTTCTGGTGTCGGGCTTCACTTTCTAACCTTGGAGCATGTAGAGATGTAGCGAGGCAGCGAACTGGAGGCCCGATTCTGGTGGGTGCGCAAACTATCGGGGGTGGGTGCGGATGTGGGCGAGTGGGTGGGTGGGTGGGTGGGTGGGTGGGTGGGTGGGCGGGCGGGCGGGCGGGGGTGTGGGTGGGTGTGTGGGTGTGTAGGTGTGTGGGTGTGTGGGTGTGTGGGTGCGTGGGTGGGTGTGTGTGTGTGTGTAGAAGGAGGTCACTCTCCAACGTTCTGCACAACTTCATCTTGCTCGCAATTTCTTATTTCCAGATTGTTTGGCATGCAGGGGGGGAGCATTGATTGCTGGACTCCCGCTAACAAAGACAAAGACGCCAGCTTTCCATGGGTGATGTGTTGCGGGACGTCGGAACTGAACATTGTGGCTGCGTGACTGCTTGTGAAATCCTGAGCGTAGCAAGGCAGCTAGCTGCTAGCATCCTCGCGGTGTATGTTTACCTTCGCTGTTGGTACCTTCAACTTGAAACACCTTTCTGCAGCAGCATCCAGCCAGTGTCTGCACACACCTTGCTGAGCGTTTGCACATGCATTCATGTACGGCTGCAGCAATCTGAACCACGTTTGTGCATTTGTAGACAGGCATTTCGTAAGCAAGCCAACAATTTGCGAGCTACTAGAACCAACCATGAGTGCGACCAAACTTTGAGAAAGTGGGCGGGGCGGGGTGGGGTGGGGTGGGGTGGGCCCGGCGCACGTGCGCGCCGCCGCGATACTTGGTTTGGCTTGTGTAGGTCACAACCGTGGGGTTGTGCTCGGGCTGTTCGACCGAGCTGTCGCTTAGCGGCATCGAACTCTGACTGATGTTAGGCTTTCGCTGAGTGCTTTTACCATGTGAAATCCCGAAGACCCCGAGACCCTGCAATCTAAAGCCCAGGCATTTCGTTGCCAAAGTACAAGACCTTAGACCTTGAGGTTTGCGTTGAAGCCCTGGCGGCGGTCCCATTGTAGAGTAACTACAAAAGACTGCGAAAAGTTAGTTAGCCCTAAACGCATCTCACTCCAAACTAGGCCAGGACAAAGATCGAAAACTCTGAACATCCGTGCCCCGAGTCGTTATCCGGCGCCCCAGGTTCTACGACTCCCAGCCTGAGGAGCCTTGATTTAATGGGATTCGGAGTTGGGGCGATGACGCAGGCCTTCGGCTAGCACTGTAGAGTTTTGGCTTTAACGTTGAGCTTCAAGAGCTCAGGTCACCGCGTTCACTGCCAGTTAGCAGCTAGGATGTGAAAAAGACAATGCAGGGAGATGCAGCACTGTGTCGGGCAGAGTTGATGCTAGGATTAAGTTGTGGTTGGGGCTTGGCCACTTCAGACTCCAGCAATCCAAAGTTTACAAGCTTTGCAATGTGCACCATCAACAGAACCATCGCCCTAAACCCGAAGTCCTAAACTGAACAACCGAAGAAGCTGCTCTCGATGGAACCCCAGCAGTTCAAGCCGATCTTCAACCAAGCCGAGGAGCTGCCCTGGATCCGCACGGAGTGCGTGATCGACACTGTCCAGGCATCCAATATAGGGGAGGATAAGGTTTTGGGGTAAAGGATACTACGATTATAATAAGGAACCCCAAAAGAGTGGTATTTATTCAGGCCCCTGTAGGCCTACGACAACATTGACGAGGCCCACCTTAGGGAGCGCTCGGTTGCTTTGGGGGGAAAAGCTTTCTCCTACGCCTACGTCGACAACGTCCTTTCCAGTAGCTTTAGCCTATGGGCACTTATGCCTTGGGCCAATGATTCTCTTGCTGGTAAATTAATTGTACCCTCTACGCAAGAGAAAGTTCGGAACACAACACGGCGAGGTGTAGTCAGTCCGCCGTTAAAGGCGGAAATGCCGGGTGAGCAGGATGACAGGAAGATGGAAGCACTGTGCGAACAGGTTCAGGTGCCGATAACACATCTTGCTCGGAAGTTGACGGTGCAACGTTTCCCGAAGATATGTCGCATCGGTTTCTGTCGCCGCCTTAGAGGGGGCCGACGCATAAAGAGGGCGAGGACCCTCCACAGACACACGGCTGCACGCAGGCGCCTTCCATCCTATACCATATGAGCTCAAAAGAAACATACATGAAGGCCCGAGACCATTTATGAATAGACAGGTTTCTACGATCCTACGGATAACTCGGACTGAGGCCGGCAACTTACACCTAACGTCCGAAACCGGCATAAGGTTTATCACTGATAGGCTTTATAGGGCTTAGGGTTTAGGGTTGAGGGTTAGCTAAAGGGCGGTTGATGCCCTTTCCCGTTTCGAGAGGACGTCTCTCGTCCAAAAACCTCTCAACATCCAAGCCTTTGTCACAGATGAGCTGTAGAGTTCGGGTTCGGGCGTCCTGATCCTAAAACCCTAAACCGCAAACCCTCAACCCAAAACCCTAAACCCACTAGTTAACAGTTAAGGTCTGTGCTGAGGTCCGGTGCTCTCTGAAACTCCCACAGAAACACGCAAAGCTCCTATATGCCAGGAACCCCAAACCCCAGGCATATGCCAGATGCGTACATACACGTGGTCCCTGAAAGAGTTTAGGGCAGGGCTTAATTTAATGTTTAGGGCTAGGGAAGGTGTCTCAACCTGAGAAGGTTATTTCGGAGAGTTGCATCATGTACTTGGTTTTGATTAAGAACCTAAACACGACCCTAAACAATAAACCCTAAGCCCTAAACCCTAAACGGGTTTTACTTGAACCCTAAACCCGACCCTCAACCCCGAAGCGAAGGGCGGGGCGGGGAGTGTCGAGAACGTGGGACACGGGCCCTTTGGGAGCCCGGTCTGCTCGCGGATTCCCAGGACAGAAAAAAATGCACACCCTAGATGCCTGGAGCCCTGGACCCTGAACCCCAAACCCTAACCCTGAACCCCAACGCACCATGCTCAGCAGAGACGCGCCCAAAGCCGATGTTGCTTGGATCCCCAAAGACACGCAACATGACGATGAATTAATTATTTTACAGTTACGCAACCAGTCAAGCGGCCAAGCATCGTCTCCCACTTGTCCTCAGACAAGGGGGCGGCGCAGGCAAAGATACTCACTCGTTGGCCTTTAATTTAGGACCCCAGTCAGGACCTGCAGAGGCTCCGTGCTTAGTCTGCCCGACACCACTCCTCAGAAAAGTTTGGTTTCTTGGAAGGCCGCCTCACGCAGCCAAGCCTCCGACAAAGCCTCTCTTAAAGGTCTCCCTCCCGCTGCTCCTGACAACGCGGGTCAAGCCACGACTGGCTGTTTGCAGTTGCCTGTCGACCCAAGCCATTTCGAGCAAAGACCACAAGGCAACAGCAAAGGAGCGGAAGAAAACCGCCTTAGGCCAAGGACCTGATACGTCATCATGGTGTGATCGCCAGGTTGGTTGCACACCCTGGCGCGAGACACCACACGCAGGCCGTTTGTCGAGGGGATTGAGTGCCAAGGGCGATACCTTCAAAAGGTCCTGCAGCAAGCCAAGGGTCGTCCTGTTCGTCTAGGCCTGGAGCTTGCCTGCTGATGTGGCACCGGCCCAGTGCCAGGGCAGTGGACAGAATAGGACGTGATCTCGGTCATGGAGGGAGCAGGCTTTCAGACGGTCCAAATCGTGTCAGCTGGTCGCGGAAAGGTCCCCTAGCTCCTTCGCAGAGGACTCAAGGCTGACCTGGGCCAACCGGTTAGAGTGGGGCACACGCTGTTCACTTCGAACGCGTGATGGCTCAACGAAGCCGCGAAGCCGCCAAGCTTGAAGTTTTCATCAGGCCCCAACCCGCCCGCAAGGACCACTTGGGCAATGCAACATGAGCAGCTTGCTTGGGATGCCATCAAAGACAGCATCACGCGAGGCAAGACACTGCGGGCTGAGCTCGCTTCGTTCATCCGAGACCGCCATAAATCCTTCCAGAACTGCGGGTCCTGGTTGCGCACGGAGATTCCGGAGAGTAATTATCTCTGACGAGGACATGCTGAAACTCAGAGGCCGGCCGCGAAGATGGCGAAGTGCCTCAAAGCTGGCAGGAGTATTTGGCATGTGTGGACAGGCCCCGCAGATGGGCTGACGAGCTCGCCTTCAGAGCGGCTCGCAAACGTCTTGGTTGCAAAATCGTGGTGAGCATAGGGCCTGAAACCGCCACGGCCGCCACGCAGCTTCTAGTGTACGCAAGACGGGCGACAGTAAGCAAGTTAATGTCTACTTGTGCTACGAAAACTTGCGCTACCAGCTGCTGGAGTTCCGTGCAGGAGTGCCTGCAGAATGGAAGGCTTTGGAGTTTGGAGCAAGCCAACAAAAGCATCCCCTGCCCGCGCGGAGGAGGCAAGTCGAGCCCTGCGTCGCTGGACAAAAAGTGCCTTCCCGCACGTCGCGCGCCTTCCCAATACTGCGACGAGCTCCCATGCCGGGAAGTGAGAAGCTGACGATGTGCCAGCTCCGCCAGACATGGAAGTGGACGATGACCCATGGGATCAGCGGGCCGAAAGGCAACAGCATGCAGTCTGTGGTTGCTTAACCGCCGTGGGCACAGGATGTCATCCAGCACCATGGGCGCGTTGCAAAGTTTGTTGCTAGACCGGGCAAGGTGCAAGGGGGCTTGTCACGTACTGCAAGCGAGCCTTCTTTGCCAGCAACAGTGCGCATCATGCACCAAAACCACAAGAACAGAGCGCATGACAATGCCAAAAGCGAGGTGCCGCACTTGTCTTGGTCAGAACAGGCGGGCCTCAAAGTTGTCAAGCTCAAGGGATTGATGACTGGATGACTAGTGCATGGAGTGTGCCAAGTGCCACAGGGGCCTCCGGGGCAATTTGAGCTCACTGGCTCGACGAACGAAGCAGCCAAAGAACACATCCCAGCGTGTCAAGGTCCCAAAACCTCTCTGCATGCCAAGAGGCTTCTGCTACACCACCAAAAGCGCTGCGTGGCAAAAAAGACCCTAAGGTGCATGCTGAGGCTAGTATGTCTGGTAACCTGTCGGAATAAATTTGGGTGGACGGCGAACTCGAATATCCGTGAACCTGAACTACAACATATCATAGTAAACCTCAACATTGCACAGGCAGCGGCCTACCTTGCCCAAGCCGTGGTCTTCCTTTACAAGGCCGGCAGCTTTGACACACGGTCAAGGATATATACACATCAGTAGGCTCCTGCAGCTCAGAAAGCGACCACATCTCCAACAAGTACTTGTAGGTTTCAGTCGTGAGGCGTTTCAGATATTCAACCTCACAAGCGCAGGCTGCGTCTCAAGGAGATCAGCCCCATCCCGTATATCAACTAGATGGGTCATGCAAGTTCCGAATGTTTCCCACCGCTAAAAGTATCTCCGAATCTCAATCTTTGTGGAAACATCAGCCTGGGTTGTGACATTCGGGACTTGTTTGGTGCTACAGGGTCCATTGTGCGAGGCCTAAAGAAGTTAAAGTTTGAAGTCTCAAACTGTTAACAGTCGGCAAAGAGCCCGCGTAAAGAAAGGAGCACGCAAACTCCGTGTTCGTATGCCCAGACCAACCAATTCAGTTTTTGAGGCCATTGACTACGACGGCCTGGAGTGCCCCAACAACTCGCCGGTGGGATGTGCTGCCAGCGTTGCCGGTTGCTCGCCAGCTTTTTCGATACCCGAAGTCAGGCTTGCCAAGACAGACTAGGGATTAGGGTTTCGGTTGGATTCTGGACTCGCTTAGAGGAGAGCGGCCATATAAGACGAAAATCCCCAGTTTCGCAAGTCCAATCTTCGTCTTCAACCCTGAGCCATGCAAAGTTTTTGACCCAAATTGAAGCCCAAGTCCTGTGAAACCCGAAATTGAAGCTGGTGCATGTTGTTGTCCGAGGTTTCATTACCTCCATCACCTGGATTGCCTCGTACCTGTGCCTCTGGCATGTCAGCATGTCCGTTCCCTTTTTCTTGGGTGTAAGGCTGAGGCCGAAAGCCCCTGCGTAATGAGCACGGTACCTCAGACGTCGATCTCTTGCAGCATGATTGTTTTGAGGCGAAATTGAAAATCCAAGATTCCGGGCCGAGTTTTCCGAATGAACATTCCCATGAGCGGAATGGCCTGTCATTTGACGAAACTATTGGGAGCCTCATACATTCCCGAATCGACAGGTTTGAGGTGAACCTCCCAATGAGCGTTTCCCGAGTCGTTTTTAGAGGACCAATTTCAGCCGGCACCAAAATCGATAAGCTGAAGCATGGGTTCAGCGACCTTTCAAAGGGCATCCTACGTCGTAAGTAGTAAGATCCAAGCTGTTTTGTCACCGGTGTGTCCCAGGTCCTTCGCAGCGAACGCCTGCGGCCAGGCCGTCAACAATGGTGCGCTCTGCGCAGGCTCGGGAAGGGTTTCGTGTTGGCTTTGTACGTTCACCGAAGCCTTGCAAGTGCCCCCACCGTCCAGCGGCAAACCCACGAAAGCCCGTAAACGGTGAGGTGCCGCCAATGGTCCAAGAGCACTTCTGCGAAGGAAAGATTGTTCGCTAACCCGAGCATCAGCATTGGAATCCTGTGCGCGTGCCTTTCCGGAGTGTAGAGTTTAGCTCTGTTCAACCCCCCAAAAGAGTTGAGCCCCTGAGGCCGGAGTTTCAATCGCGAAAACCACGGCAACCCAGGCTTCGCAAAAGCCATCGCCTCCAAAGCAGCCCCACTTGCAAAACCCGCCCAAACCTCCGAAAGTATTACATTTCCTAAATTCATGATGCTCCGCACTCTCCAGCCTCGGACCCCTCAGCACCACCGGAGGTGACTTCACCGCCCTGATGGCCAACTTCGGCGAGATCGCCACCGTGGGCGCTGCAGCAAGAGCGGACTGCGACTTCGGCACCTTGGGCTCGCCGTCCCTTTTCAGTGCTCAGGGGGTTGAGCCTGGTGTTTTGTTGGGCGAAGTCACATGTGGATGTGTGTTTGGTGGTGACGGCTGTGCTTTGCAGCACCAAATGCCAAGCTCAGCAACAAAAACCGACATCTTCGTGGGGTCCAGTCAAGGAATCAAGGAATGCTTTGGCTAGAAGACCACATCAGTTGTTGGTGGCGGATTCGACCCCCCGTCGCTTTCACACAAAGCCCGAGGAAGCTCCTTCAATCCAGGCCGTCCAAGCGCATGAAGCAATTCGTTTTCAGGTAAGAACGCCCTCCAGATCCTCACGAGGACAGAGACCGTCTCTCCTCCGCATCTCGGTCCAGAATCATCAAAATCGGAGGGCTTTTCAGTAAGATCCAAAGAGAGGCCAGAGGCCAGGACGTGTGAGTAGACTCTGCTGGCTTCTCCCCACGACCGGTCACAAGCAGGGCCATTAAACATCCGACATCTTCTAGTATTCCAGCCTCCAAGACCCCAATTTCGACACATCTCGGCAGAAGGTGGAAGGAGTTCGTGCCTGCCGGGGCATCGCCAGCCGTGGACAAGGCCTTGAAGGTCAAGGGGCGCCTCGGACTGCGAGCTTCAAGGTAGATGTTTGCCAGTTCCGAGGCGTGCATCGGCTTCCTTGAACGGCTTAGCATCCACCGAAGCTGCCAAAGCCTTGGGTCCCTTCCAGCCCCGAGCAGCCAGAGGCACAAGGACCAGCAGCGCAACCGCGACTACGACATCGTCCAGTGCGCTGCGGATGTCACCAACTCCGTCTCCTACATCGCGCCCTGGAATTCCGAGTGGGTCTTGTGCATGTCGCACAGGGGGTGGGGCTCAAAGAAGGCTCAGGGGCTTCGGTTTAGTTAAGTATCACACGGGGTCGAAGTCCAGGGAATGGGGGCGTTTGCAGTCGATTGAGATGCACCCCAGGGGGTTTTGGGTGGCCAACGTCTAGGGCTGAGTTCGAGGCTCAGAGTGCCGCGAGCCCCAGGTGCGAGCGATCCTTCAGATCCGCGCCGCGGGAAGCGCCTGCCCCGACCCCAAGTCATGCGCTGTCGGCATCATGTGCCGCGGCTGCGATGAGCGGTCTTCGCAGTTTCTAGGGTGCGGCTTCGTCGTTCGGAGCCCCGCAAACCTACCCCCAAAGCCTATTCGGGCGGACGTTGGGTCTCAGTATATAGGTATGTATGAGCAGCATATGCTGTGGTTCCTTTTTAATTTGCGGCGTGGGGAGCCGGGGCGTTGTTGGGGGCCAGTCGCAGTAGACAGGGTTTCTCGGTTTTTTGAGGTTCCTTGGTCTGCATGTGTGTGTGTGTGGGAAAGAGGAGAGAGCGACAGCTTCGAGGGCTTGGCCAGTCGACGGTTATGTTGTCTTGCGGCATGTGCACATGTTTTGGCACCTTGGGCTTCACGGCTTCCGGGTTTGTGGTTGGGGCTGTCGGTTGGGTCGGGGGTGTTACGGCGCTCGCAGCTTGGCTAGAGTCAGGGGCTGAAACTGATTAGGGCCTCCATGACCTTACGGCTGGCCGTGAGTCGCTGAAGTCGAGAAATGTCCGCAGCTGTCGCGGCCAGCCCAACGCCATCCCCAGATCAGACACTCAGTCCTGCCAGGCTTCCGGTCTTGGCTCAGCCGGGATGTGGCCCGCATGAGCGTAGCCATGTAAGATGGCCTCAGCGAAAGCTTTAGACATGAGAGGCTTGCAGGAGTATACGATGAGTATCCCGTAAGATTTGAGGGGAGGGGGTGAATGCAAATGAGAAGCTCAGGAACATCATCTCCTCTTTCGCATGGATCTCACAGTTCACTGCACTGGCCGTCTCCGACTGCCAGGCGACGGGGCATACAAGAATTCGGCTTCAAAGGTGAGGTGAATGGGGTTGTTGCAGCTTTAGAGGTGCGCCGTTGGAATGAGTAGCCTTTAGTTTTAGCTCATCGCCTCATCTTGAGCGCAATGTAGTGCTGTATCGTTCGCAAACCGCCTGGTTACTTGTGGCATGGTTTATGTATAGTATGCGCCAGCGTCATGAGCACAACACTAGTATTTTTGCTACCTACTAGCACCCTTCTGACAGTACTGCTGGCATTGTCAATAGACATAGCACCACTTTTCGAATTATAGATTCTGAGTTATCTGAGTTAGAACGTGCCAGCAGCCAGCGATTTTCCTTCAAGTTCCGCCCACGCTTAGCTTCCACACTCGGCTTCCCGAGTGCCCCGAAGGCCTCAGATAGGTCCAAACAGCAGAGCACGGGGCCCTCCCCGAACCCTCAAGGACGAACCCTGAACTCGAAGCCTTCTTCCGAAAACTGCTGGGTTCAGGGTTGGCCGCGAGCTGCATTTGGGAAGCCATTGAGAGATGCACTGCTCACCTAGTTCACACAGGTGTAAACCTGCTTCCGACAAAACGGCAATATTCCAACACTGCACAGTCCAATGCAACAAGACCGCTCCTACCACATGTCAGCTATCGTGTGTCCGTCTGTCTGCTCTGAATATTCAACAACGGAACATATTCCATGTAGAATTCGTGCACATATTCAACTATTCAACGAATGAAACCTAGCGTACCTGCAGTAGCGCCCCCGGCCGCGAAAGCCGAAGTGCCAGGTGGCGGCTGACCAGAAGGCCCTCTGCACCGCCGACATCTCCGACCCTGGGCTGTCCTACACATGCCCTGCATCGTGTTCTCACCGACAGTAGCGTAGAGTTTCATGGCAGTCATCCGGCTGCCGCCACGGAGTTTCCAGCGTCGCTGTCATCGTGCCCGTTGTAGGAATCGTAGGAGCTGTAACTAGCGGTACACCTCCACTTCCACTCTGCAGCTGCTGCTGCTACGGATCGTCGTAGTAGCTAGGAGAAAGGGCAGTAGCAGGAGAGCTTGTCCCTCTTAGCCGTTATACTTGGAGTCCGCGCCCTTCGCTAGCCCTGGACGAAGCAATCTTCAGTCACAAGTTTTTAGGGCTTGTCGTGGCCACAAGCAGGAATCCGTGCGCCCTGACCTCTTGAAGACCCAAAGCCTCGAACTGCGAAGCCTCAAGTCAGTGTTGTTCCTCAACCCTGTGCAACGAATCTCAAGCCCGAAACCCCCGGCAGACGCCACAAGCCGGAACCAAAGCCTGGTACAATCTAAGCCCCACCCAAGAACCCCAGGAAGTAAACCCTCCAGCAGCCTGAGCCCAAAGCACGCACACCCACAAATCCAACACTCTCAGGACATGGTGGCCGCGCTGACCAACGGACCCGCCGCCGGCATCGCCTCGACCTCGGACTGCGCCGACCTCTAAGCGACCTGGCGCCATACTTAATGATCAGGCTCCCTTTGCCCGGCGGTCTTTCTGACAGTTCGGAGCCATCCGGTCCTATGCAGTCCAGATCCCGGATTTCCTTGTGGGGCCCTCGCTAAACAGGCCCAAGCCGTGTCCGCGCTCGGTTTCCCTGAAAAGTTTTGCCGTGTCAGTCCGATTTGGGTCTCGTACATAGTAATACGAGGTTTCAAACCCTAAACACTAAACCCTAAACCCTCGGAATGTTAGCGGCTTGGTCCTGGCCATGAGCTCGGTGCCAGGCTGGCAGGAGAGGCGGTGGAGAAAGGTCACTACGGCCGCCGCAACGCCATCCTGAGTTCAGCAAGATCCGGATATCCTGGCTGAGTTCAACTTTCTATATGATCCTAGTCGCTATGTTTCTAGCTATCCACACATCAGCCGTGGTTCCTGGAGTCTATCATTTCGTGTGAGACACCTTTCTGAAGAGCAAGGTGCATCGCATTCCCAGTATAGTGCGGGTTTTCGTGGAGGACTGTCGAGCCCTGCGTGCCTCGCAAAATCGCCCGATGGAGGCTCCCAGGGCAACCCGAAAGGGAGACCTCCAGGGCCCTAAGCCTTAGCCTTATGTCGCGAATAGCGCGCACGACCTCCTTTCATCGTGGTTCACCATGATGCCCGAGTGGACGGGAAAAAGATCAGCTCCCACGCCTCCGGGACCCTCGACCAAGCATGGCTTTTAAGTCCGATGCCCTGACCCTGAACCTGAGGGTTGCATTTAAGACCGGGTTGATGCAGGCTCCAACTTCGGCCTTACATGCGCCTCAATCCGGCTTGCAAAGCAAGATAAGCCAAGGGAATATAGAAAGGTCACACGGTCCCGTGGTTGTTTCTGGCCCAATGGTGCCGCAGCCGAGCAACTAAGGAGTGTGTTGTTCCAGTCGTTTGGCGAAAATTCCCGACTAAGACTTGGACTCCTTGAAGCTGACATGGTTAGCGAGGCTACACTTGGAAATAACTCGCTTCATCATGTGTGCGCCTGAAAACGAAGTTCAATCTCGAACGACACCCAAGCGAAGGTGTGACAATGATACACCCATACCCCGAGGCCGGGCGCTTGTGCATGGCTGGGGATATCGGGGCTACTCCTGAACCCTGAAACAAGAAGGGGCGGGTGGAGACGGTTTTAAGCACATGGTGCTCTGAACTCAAACTCCCAGGTTTGAGGTTGTTGCATTTCGCACCGTTCGGTCTGTCGGGAGGGTTGAGCATTTGACCCACCAGTAGCTCTAATGAGTCTTCCATTCGACGGAGACGGCTCCTCCCCAAACGCGGTAGACTTCGAGTTCAGTGAATCAAGAGGTCGAAGGTCCGAAGCCTTAAACCCCACAGGCCGACTCGCGTACCCAAAACTGCAATCTCCGTATATGCAAAGTTCAGGAGTAGATATGAGCAGGGTTGCAAACACAAATACTTCTACCCGTACTTACAAAGTCCCATGATATCTTAAGTAGGATTGCCCAAGGGCTCCAAGTTCTTTTGGTTGCCCACTTTTAGGTCATCAGTGTTACTAAGCACCCACTGTAACCTTCGTGATCCTGTATTGAAGTGTCAACCCTGAACACTGCAGGTGGAGGGCTCTAAGCCCCTGTCGGATGGGGGTCTCTACTTGGGCGGCTCCCTCGCCGGAGCCCAGGCTAGCTGTGGGCAATGGGCGGGTTTCAAAGGTGCGGAGTCGTGAGGTCAAGGAGAGGAGCTGTCTGGGATTCTGGCTTTCGGTCAGGCTACCTGCCCGAGGGCATCTAGTGTGTAGCTTTCGGTTATAGGCAAATTGTGTATTCTGTTTTCCCCTGCTTCTCAAACGATCTTCTAGCAACTGCACAAGCACGAAGAGCTGGTTGTTGATTGGCCCCTCTTCGGAGTCTCGTAGCCAGTCGCCGGCAGAATGTTTGAAGTTGTCCATCCTCTAGGCTCCAGCTGCAGCTCCTGCATGTTGCTCCGTAACTCTACAGTTGACACAACCCTGAACCATTTCTCATGATTTGAGCAGGGCATCTTGTAAGGCAGGTCTCTGCAGATCATGGCCCTGAGGCCTAGCCGCCCCCAGCCGAACCCCTCTTAAACACAAGCGCGAAAAATATTGTCACCGAGACTCAGCCCTACTTGCACCCGAACCTCTGCTGTTTCAGAACATGACAGTGTCATTGATATATGGAGCCCCCCGACAGGGAGATAGTTCCTGACAATTTCAGGCTCACAAGATAGGCTCCTTAGCTTTGGAGAGACCCTGCAGATGTTTCTCTGGGGAGGCATTTGTCGAAGAGGGCACAGGCTCGTCATTGAGGATACGATTCTTCCTCAACCGCATCGAGTGGAACAAAGGAGCTGCCTTAAGCCTTCAAGGTTTAGGGTTTAGGGTTTAGGTTCAATCGTGGTCGAGTTCTGTATTGACGGTTAAGTAACTGAACCTCCTGATCCGGATCCTCCGTGGAGATGTCTCAAACCCGCAACCCCGAATGCTCAACTTCAAGGGGCACAAGCAGGGCTGCAGGCATCGAATCTTCGGAGAGTGGGAGTCTTGATGTCATGTCGAGGTTGAAGGCCATTTCAGTTTATCTCGTGGCCCAGGTTGGTTTTCATGGATCACGTAGCTTCAGTTTAAAATCATCGGAAAATCATCAACTCGAAAGCTGGAGCCTTTCCCTCGCAGCCTGTTCCGACTGTGAAAGCTGCGCGAACTCCTGGAACTAATGCCATAATACACTGCGATTAGAAAAGTCTACTACAGTATACGATGAGTTTGAGGGCTGCAGCTTTGGGTGTCTAGGGTCCAGCAGCGTGGCTGGTGCGCTCCGCAATTCGCTCCCTTGAAGCAGCCTTTGAAAATTTGGGGTGTAGTGTTTCTGCATCATTCATCGAACAAGCAGACCAAGAACATTGAGTGGCGGTAGGGTAAGCAGCCCTTTGACGCTCCAAGACTCGGAGACCGCCAAAGGTTTGTGACCCGAATGCAAATCCTAGGCTTGCACTTCAGCTTTTAGCTTCAATCGGCTTTAGGAGAGCTCGAGGCGGACTTGGATGGTGCCTCGTCTGCCTTGTTCAGACGTCGGTGGGGTTTGGGTTTGGTGGTCTTGCTGTTGCGACAGAAGCTTTAGGGTTTAAGTGCACCGACATCAGTGAGCCGCCTGCGCCAACAAAAATCAGAAGACTTGGAGCCCTTGATCGCTCAAAGCCGCGACGAGGTGACGGCCGCTCCTTCCTGCCGGTGTCGGGAGCTCAGAACCGAGGCTCCAGTTGTGGGTTGCTTAAAATTTACACCTGGCTTTTAAATTTATACCAGGTTCGAAGGTTTTAGCTGCCGTGTGTTGTCAGAGAAGGGAGACGAATGTCGATTTGGATGGTTGCACGCCTTGGATTACGTACTTTTGGTCGAACTGACATTCAAGACTTGATTGATGGCTTCCGTGGCTCCAAACACCTCTCCAGCAGGGACTTGCAATCAACAGCAACAGTTTCACAGGTTCTTGCCTTTGATCGCAGCCGGTCCAGCCCATCAGTAATTACAATCTGCACGGTGCCTGTGAGCCTGCCCTCCCAGCAGGCTTCGAAAGCAACCGCGACAAGCAACGTCCTGGGTTGGAGTCCATCTCATCGTCTTCCTGACCCATCTTAACGCTCCGGCAGAGAGGCCTGCGATGACTCACATTCAGCAGAACTCCTCATCTCGACGCCATCTCGCCCTGGCCTGAAGGCCCAAGCTCTCTGCTCCTTAGTCCCTGGGCCTCTGCCCAAAGACACCATCGAAAGCCAAGACTACACGGATGCTGAAGTATAACCCCAGATCTCTAGTGCCACCGTCTCTAACAAGGCGATGTTCCGTGGACGTCGTTCTGACAGAGGTGGTCCGTTTTAGAACTGAGAACTGAGGGTTGAATGCGTTGAATGCCCAGATCACTTCAGGAGGCCTTGTGGGCGTTGCAGTTTAGCGAGGGGGAGTGGATTTGCCGGTTCAAAGTTCAGTCACCCACGGGATATGAGAGAGGTGTAGTCAAACCTGCTATAGATTAAAGCCTGTGCCTACGCTTGTCGCCTGTATTGGTGGTGGATCCGTCGTGATCTTGGGTCGTCCTGGCTGCGGCGGCGGAGAAAATGCAACAGATCCAAGCCAGTCGACTCGCTTGTCGCACAAAGGCCCCTGCGAGCGCCCAGCTGCAGCGCATGCCCGTTCCGGGCCATGACACCAGCTTTCGTCCCCGAGACCCACCTTCAGCTTCTTCAGTTCGCTGACTCACACATCTCTTCCTTCATGGGGTCCATGAATCGTGTAAAGCAAGACGGGTGAGCTAGAGCTGAAGAAGCTGTACCACACCGAGCCCATCCAGGGCAAGTGTGCTTTGATGGCATAAGTGGGGGAGTTGTCGCTGCGGGATGCCACACAACGCGGATGTGAGCAAGGCGTAGCAACTGCCGTGTTATCATAGCTGGATCCGGTTTGTGTCATCCTTGTCATCGATACTCCGTCGGCTTACACGGAAGGAGTATCCCACAGCATCCGCGAGAAGTGATCAAGGAGGTTGTTGTTAGTTAGGCGGATGTCGATTGCCTTGGTGTTGGTAAACTGCAGGGATTTCAACATTTTTGGCTTCCAGAGGCCCGAGACTGGCATCTGGAGATACTAGCATCTGCAGAGTTATTCAAACCCTGTGGCGCGGGATTGCCTACGCTGTCCAGCGAAATCGTAATGGCCTGAATCTTGTCCTGGGGTCCTGGGCCCAGACCGAATACTTGTAGCAACTGCAACAATGCTTGGCGTGTTGAAAGTTTTAGACCTCAGTACAGGCCTAGTGGCTGCCCGTATACACGCGAAACAGGGAGAAGCCACAAGCAGATGAACGCGGCATACGCGGCAGAGGTCATGTTTCGAACGCCGAATCGGTGTAATGCTCCAAGTGGGTTCACCGGAGTGGACGGTCAGGGTTTCTCTGTTACGTGCCTGTCAACTGAGCGCAGATACAAGGCAT